CGAAGATGATGTGGGCTATGGCTCCGCCAAGAACACACTGGACGTACACAGACATCCGGAGTTGATGAACAAGAACGGTGCGGCTAAACCATAAGCCTAGTTTGAATAATTGATTAATGTAATTGTGTCCCCGTAGATTCATTCTTCGATAGCACCAGCATTGTAGTCAAGCTGCGTTCCATACTCGAGGAGGAGAAGCAAAAGCACAGGAGCTTGCAGGAGCAGTACGTGAAGCTGGCAAGTCGCAATAAGCCTACGGAAGATTCATTCCGGTAAGTAACGCGCAGTTAGGCAATTGTTGTGAACGAACACTCGCACACACACAATCACACACACACACACACGCCTATAGTTAGTCTAATTACTATTATGTATATTATTGCCACACACTTGCCATAGCGTCTCCGAGCTTGAGGTAGAGAACGAGAAGCTACGCAGCGACTACGATCAGCTGCGCACGAGCATTAAACACGGTGTTGAGATCAACGAGCTCAATGGTAACATTCGTCATGGGCCTTCATTGCAGTTGTTATATCCAATCCCTTCCCCTGCCTCCCCCTCTCTTTTTCCTTTGTGTTCACAGCACAACATGCAGCCCTACAAGAGGAAGTGCGTAGACGACGAGAGGAGTGCATCCAATTGAAGGCCGTCTTACTGCAGCAGAGCCAAACGCTGCGCTCCATTGAACCGGAGAGTCTGCAGCTGCGAGGTAGCGATGCCAGCAATGTGCACGAGCTAATGGAAGCATTTCAGTCACAGAAGCTGGTCAACAGGCAGTTGGAATCGGAGCTGAAGGCCATTACAGAGGAGCACAACAGCAAGCTGATGGAAATGACGCAGGCCATCGAGCGGCTCAATAATGAAAAGGACGAAATGCAGGAGGTTCTTTTCAAGAGCATCGATGAATTCGATCAGGCCAATATTGATACGCTGAAGCAGAACGATCGTTATTTGCGCCTGGAGCTGAAGAAGGCCATAACCCAGTACCTGCTGGTGCAGGATGAGCTAAAGCTGGCCAATGCCAAACTGAAGGCGTACAGGCAGGACGGCGGCAAGCTGGAGAATCAGCTGGAGGAGGAAATGATACGCAATAAGGCGGCCAACAGCAGTAGTAGCAACAACGATCTGGGCGCCAATGTGACCAAACAAAAGTCTCAAAATCCACTCGGACTGATGAAGTTCCACAACAGCGATCTGGACAAGATCTTGCAACGTCTGCTAAGTAGTCTCACGCCACGCACTGTGGTCGGTCTGCTGCCCGGCTTTCCCGCCTATCTTATTTTTATGTGCATTCGGTAAACTACTCAAAATTTCGTGTATATATCCACTTGATCGACAATCTATAATAATTTGCAGCTATACCGATCTAACCAATGCCGATGAGGATGTGCGCGAGCTGCTTAGTAAATTTGTGATGCAAATCAAGAAAATGCATAGAACGCCCCATCCGATAGAGAACCGCGTCATCTGGCTAGTCAACTCCATAACGTAAGATCTTGAAACATTCACCAAAAACCGTTTTCTATAGTTTTCATCATTTTGCAGGCTGCTAAATTTATTAAAGCAATACGGCGATGTTGAGGAATACGTTAAATTCAATACGGAGAAGCAGAATCAGCAGCAATTGAAGAATTTCAATCTTTACGAATATCGACGCGTTATACTCGATCTAATTGTGAATCTATATCAGGCGCTCGTAATGCAGATACAGAGCCTACTGGATCCCAAGATTGTGCCGGCCATATTAAACAACGATGAGATTCAACGCACTCGCCATGCTCATGGGATGCGCAATCGAAACACAGATTCGTCATCATCACCCGAGCATGGAAATGTGCCTGCCTGGAAGCAGCTAATTGGCCAACTGGAGCACTTCTACAAGCAATTCCAACACTTTGGCTTGGATAGTATATATGCTGAGCAGATATTTAGTCAGCTCTTGTACTTTGTCTGCGCAGTCGCGCTCAACTGTTTGATGCTGCGTGGCGACATCTGCATGTGGGAAACGGGCATGATAATTCGCTATAATCTGGGCTGCATTGAGGATTGGGTGCGCGACAAGAAGATGGTGATGCTACTTTGTTGTCAGTTGTCTATCCACAATCAGCTTAAATCTGCAATTTTTTTCTATACTTTATCCTGCAGTCAAATGAGGTGCTGTTGCCATTGGCACCATTGAATCAAGTCTCCCAGTTGCTGCAGTCTCGCAAGAGTGAGGAGGATGTGCAAACCATTTGTGATCTGTGCACGTCGCTTAACACCGCCCAGGTGTTAAAGGTCATGAAATCCTACAAGCTCGATGATTATGAGAGCGAAATAACCAATGTATTTCTGGATAAGCTGACGCAGAAATTGAATGCGCGGGAAATGGTAAAGCTGAGCAAAATTCCATTTACACATTTACAACAATACGTTTTCACTTTCAGTCCAAGAGCGATGAGTTTACAATGGATCAAAATTTCATACATCCCTTCAAGGTGATGTTCAAGTACAGTGACATCAAGCTGGAGGAGATCGAGTTGCCGCCGCATTTAAATCTCGACGAATTCCTCACAAAAATATAAATTTAGTATGCGAGTGCGTTTCAACCAATTATTTTGAATGTTGCCATTTGACGTGACTTATTTTCTTTTGTATTATACGAGTCTTAGCTAATTGTAGTGAGAAGTCTAAGTGCAGTAGTTCCTGTTTAGTTTAATGAGAAAGGAAAACCCTAACTATCGACAATTCAGTTCCCTTTTTTTGACCCGTACTGCTAGCCATTTTTGCCAATTTTTTTTTAGTTTTGTTATAGCTAATTAAAGCTTGTTTAAAACGGGTGTGAACCAATGCAATATATGAAACTAATTTGTAATTATAAATGAGGGAGTAAAACTCCAGCAGAAAGCATTCCTAAGTTGCAATAATAAATTAACCTTGTACCTTAACTTAAACATTAAATGAAAAGAAAACATATTCATATATATGAAATGTACTTAATGAACATTGAAATGTTATAGAAATCTATGTATACAATGGCCGATTTGTGGCCTTAAACGTTTGGAATGTAGAGACTTGTTAAGATAATAAGTACTTATATATTTATATATATATATACATATATATACATATATATACATATATAGAGCGCTATATTTGTAACGATGCTGTATTCGATTTATGTATTCTCATATTTTTTGTAAGTTATATGTATTAGCGTGTTTTGAAGAACGAGCCCCCAAACATAATTGGGCTGTATTAAACAATAAAAAATAAGCCTTGGCATTTGTTTGAAATATGACAAATTTATATTAAATACTCGTGTACGATAAAATTTAACGGAAGAATTTGTACAATAAAAGCTATTAGCAAATTACCGGCGCCTTGGATAGCTTATTCTTTGGCAAATCGAGAGATGGCAAACGGCTCGTTATCATGCCCGTTGCCACAGTTGCTCCATTCTCGCGTATTGTAAAGGCCTGACCCGGCGTCATGACCATTTTGCGCAGCAATGTGACGCGCACCTGACCATGCTCGCCGGGCATCAACATAGATTCGCTGGGCACTATAAGGTGTTAGGTAGTGAAGGTACTTTGAAATGAACCCATAAAGAACTTACCGATATCAATGCGTGCTGGCAGATTCCATGTCATGCTGAATAGCTGCTGTATGTACTTGGATAGCATGGGCTTGAAGCGTCCACCCTCGGCACGAGACAACAAATACATGGAGCCTTCAAAGTGATTAGATATATCCTCAGAACCGGACGCACATAGCAGCATGCCGCGTTCTACAGATGAAATCTTAATGCCACGCAACAGGGCGCCCACATTATCGCCGGCTAGTGCTTGCGGCACACTCTTGCGAAAGATCTGAATGTCACTGACGGTGGTCTTTAGGTTCTGGCTGAAGCCCAACAGATCGGCTTCGGCATTGCGCGCTATCGTGCCGCGTTTTATGGTGCCCACCACAACCGTGCCGCGTCCGGGCACCGTAAATGCATTGTCAATGGGCAGGATAAAGGGTGCCTTGACGTCCCGCTCGGGTGTCGGTATATACGTGTCGCAGTGCTGCAGCAGCTGCTCAATGGCGGGGACACCAAACTTAGACTGATCGTCGCGTAGCGCCAATAAGGCAGAGCCGCATATCACTGGACTGTTGACGCCATCGAAGCCAAAGTCCGACAACATTTCTCGCATTTCAATCTCTACCAACTCGAGCACCTCCTGGTCGACCAGATCCGCCTTGTTAATAAACACCACAATGCGTTGTATGCCAACCTGTTTGGCCAGCAGCAAGTGCTCACGTGTTTGAGGCATTTGTCCGTCCGTAGCGGCCACCACTAATATGGCTCCATCCATTTGGGAGGCACCCGAAATCATGTTCTACAATGCAATCAGATTAAGTTTGATAGCTATAAATGCATTTGAAAACTTACCTTAATGTAATCCGCATGACCCGGACAGTCTGTGTGTGCGTAGGTGCGTTCCGCGGTTGCATAGCCAATGTGGCAGGCATTTATGGTTATGCCGCGGGCCTTCTCCTCGGGCGCACGATCGATTTGTTCATAGGGTATATAGTCTGCCAGACCTTTTGTTGATAGGATTTTGGTAATTGCCGCCGTCAGTGTCGTCTTGCCATGATCCACATGCCCTATGGTGCCCACATTACAGTGTGGCCGTTCACGTTGACTGGGATCCGGTGTCGGGTTGTCTTTAATACTGGTGGCAAATAAACGGGAATTAGCCCAGCATCTGCTGAATGTGCGGCCGCTGGTGGTGGTGGTCAACGCACTGTTTAGCCTCTGTAGAACGGCTGTGTCGCATTGACTCCGCAGTTTAACCAGAAGACCTCTCATAGTCAGCAAAAACGATGCACGTAATCGTTCGTCAACTCGCACGCCGCGTAGTCCAATCACAACAAAAGCAGCTGATTTCTTCGTTGCCGCAAATTTCAGTGTTGTAAAAGAGCCAAAGCCAAAAAGGGAATTTTATTCAAACTAAACTTTTCCGAATGGGAAATTTTTTGGAGTGTTTTTTTTTTTATTTATTTATTTGAAACATCTTCTGATTGTGGGAATGTGTTTGAATACAATGCGGTTTCCGTTGCTTCTGCAACTTTTGAGCTATTTCGTATGATTTTATGCGTACGCTTCATATGAACTCCCAGGCTAACGCGCTCCGAAAACCTGGTATTGCACAGGCTGCACTGCAGCGTCTTCTCCTTGTGGATGTGACGATGCTTGACCAATGCATTTGCATTGGTAAACGCCTTTTGGCAGACCTCGCATACTTTATCACGTATATTGAGGTGCGCCTTGATGTGATCCTTGAGATCGCGTTTGGTTAGAAAATCCTTGGGACACATAGTGCACTTAAATGCCCGAATTTTCGTATGCACAGCGGTCACATGGTTGCTCATTTGAATCTTTTGCTTAAAGGATTTGCCACAGAACTCGCACACAAACGGCTTGGCTATGTGCGTGTCGTCGTGGGTGCGCATGTGACTGCTCAATTGGCTGGAAAATGCAAAGCTGCGCTCGCACAAGCTGCAGCTGAATGTCTTGCCCATGTGCACGCGCTGGTTGTGCTGTTGTAGATGACAACGCCGCTCGAAATGATTCTCACAACAGCTGCACTTGAACCAGCCGCCGTCACCCAGCTTATGGACTCGGTACTGGTGCGCCTGCAGGGCGTGATCCGTGCTGAAGCTGGTCTGGCACACGTCACACGGTATTTTTTGGCGAAATGTTTTCGTTCTTAGGAAACTTTTGCATGTCTCAATGTAACTTTTCTCAGCTTTTAATAGGCCGATCGTCTGCGTCTCCGTGAGACCTTTGATTTTGCGGGAATACCATTGCCGTAGATACAGAACACTGTCGTAAACATCATAGTGGGTAATAATGCCCAGGGGAATCTCTGTGGCCAGCAGCTCAGTCATTTCTATGTAGGCTGATCTGCGAACATTCAGATTGGCGAAATCCTTGTGCGCCGGATCGTACAATTGTGGAAACTTTGAATACAGCTCTATAAAGTGTGTTGTCAGCCGATTCGTTTCTGTGAACACCAACTGTCCAAAAGATAAGTAGATAGTTTTACGATAAATGCAAATATTCTCTTCAAGTTTGACTAACCTTAATTTTGTTGTCGCCACTTTCCACATCGCTCTCCGCCTCCTCCACATCACAGCGTTTCCCGAGGAAACTATACATTTCATGATAATACAGAGGTAATTTTGTTAATTTTTTGGTACGCTTCTGACGGCTTATGGTCGCGTACTGGCTATGTAGGCTGGCAATACATTTCTTAAGCTTGTACTGAGTAAGATGAACATTTATGGTCGTTTTTAGCTGATCAATTAATGTGGCGTGGGCAGCTGTGCGTTTCTCCTTGTCCTTGAACGAAGAGTTTTTGGGATCCCAGAGGCAAGGATGTCCTTTATAGAGTTCAATGAATTGCGTGATCCGTGGATTGCGTCGATAAAATGTGGGATTAAACTAAATACATTTATATGTGGAATATAACTTTTTTAAATCGTTGAGTTTTCCTTAAGGCAATAGATTAAAGTGCTTACTTTCACAGTCGGTGTAAAGCTCTTTTTGATGCAATCAGCGTCGGCTCTAGAAGCATCGCCCTGATATTCCACTGCCATCTAATTGAACGTAAGAAACTATTTAAAATTATGTGTTTGAACAGTATAAAGGACTTACCTCCTCATCATACTCGTATTCGCTGTCGTAATCGTCTTCTCTGTCGGTCGATGCGTTTGGCAAATCCACAAATGCTGCTTCGGCTAAACAATCCTTATTATCAGCTTCATTATCATCCTCGACGTCGGGATCGCTTTCAATTGGCATTGCCTCTGATTTGAAGTCCGGGCTGCTGTGACAGGAACTTTTGTCCTCATCCGATTCCACTTTGTGTACATTTCTTATATGATAGACGAATTCTTGCCATCTTTCGAGGCTCACTTCCACGTCGCAATCAGTTTTGCAATATGCGCAGCTCAAAACAAACTCTTCGTAATTATTGCGCACCAGGACTGTTCCACAAATCACCATTTTCAACATATTTACCACATTTTTATTTAATACAAAAAATCATAAACAAATTTTAATTGTTGCAACTTCGGATGGTTAATCAAAGAATGTGTTATCGATAAAAGTTATCGCCAGCTGTTTAAGTGTTGGACAGCGACATTAACAATAAAGTCCTTTAGAGACGCGCGCAAATGCTTTACACTGTGGGATATTATTTATTTATGTAATTAGTAATATTTATTAAGACTAAACAAGCAGAGGAGGAATGAAGATTTTTTAGCATCATTTTTGTGGTTTTGTATTACTATGAACGGTTTTGCGATGCCGAGAAAGACTTGTCGGGCAGGTGAACGCTGCACCGCATTCGTCACATTTCTTATCCTTGATATTCAAATGGGCCTTCATATGATTTTTCAACTGGACTCTCTTGCGATATGTTTGATGACAAATATCGCATTCAAATGGGCGAAGATTCAGATGGAACCCATTTATGTGGTAGTCAAGCAATAGTTTTAGCCTGAAGGATTTGCCACACAGCTCGCACACATACGGCTTTTCGCCCGTATGCACACGTATGTGTACATTGAGGTCATTTTTCAATGCAAATGTGCTATCACAGTATTCACACTTGAGCATCTTTTCACAATGCTGGCGCAACTTGTGCCGTTCCATGTCGTGGGCCTTCTCAAAACGACGCGGACACTGGGAGCAGAGATATGGCAGCTCGCCCACATCATGCACCTTTACCAGGTGCGCCCGGAGCAGGTAGTCGATAAAGAAACGCTTATTGCAATATTCACAATTAATGACGAGGCTTTCCGATTTGGGCGGAAGGAAGCTACACAATTGAAGATAATGCAGTTCCGTCTTGGTGCAAGCACGGCGCAATTCCTTCGACTTGACGCGACGCAGGGTCATATAAGTCCATTTGCGCAATCTCATGACGGCCAGATGAACCTCAGTTTCGTTGACACGTAACTCCGGCGCGAGCAGCTGCGCTATCTTAACATACGCTTCCGTACGTGCTTCTAACGACTTGAAATCCGGCAGCGAACTGTCATACAGCACCGGAAAATTGGCAAACGTTTCAATAAAGGCTGTGGTCACATCGTTGATCTCCTTGAAGTTAAGCTAAAAGAATATATGAATATATATTAAATGAATAAATGTAATGCCATAATTATATGCACTTCACCTGAATTACATCTGACTTCGATTCCTCGTCGTCGTCATCGCTAGCCCCGGAGTAATAGCTGTTCGAGAGGAATTTGCATTTACGTAGATAACGTACAGCCATTCCGGTTAGCTGGTTCTTGTCCGCCTTTTGAGTGGCAATCGCGAACTGTTTGAACAACTGCTGTATGGATTTCTTTAATTCGATTTCGGTGAAAAGCACATTGACTTTCTTGTCCATTCCTTCAATTATTGCATTGTAGGCTTCAGTTTCCGCTTTCTCATTTTTATAAGATGTATCGTTTGGGTTCCACAAGCATGGATGTTTCTTGAATTCTTCAATGAAGTGGAGTACACGTGGATTTTGCCGGATGAATGATACTTTTAACTGCAATCGTTAAACATGTGTAAAATCAACATTTATATATTTTCTGAAAATGACATTCAAACCTTGCGCTTTATCGACATTGGATTAGTTCTGCTACGTCTGAGTGGCTTCCCCTCCAGTTCAGAATCAGAATCAGAATCTGTGGAGTTGTCGCTTGCCTCTTCATAGTTATCGCTCTCATTTGACATATTATTCTGAAATTTATTCGAGTATTTAATACTTTAATTATAGACATAAGCAATGCAATTATAGACATAAAAAATGCAATTTACTTACCACTATTTCCTCCTGTACTTGACTTTCATCGTCATAGCTGTCATCGTCCATTTTTTCCAAACAGCCATCTATGCTATTGTAGGTAGGGGACGTAGGTGCTTCCATTCGTATTGGCGATTGGAGGTCATCCTCTTGCTTTAAGATGTCGATGGTTTCCTGTTAAATGCATAATGTCAAATGAAAACTGGCAAACAATTTGTGTAAATATATCTTGCTCACATATAGTACTTCTTCCTCTTGAGGCAAACTTGCGTCCTCTTCTTTTACATACATGACATTTTCAGTGTCTGCGAAAGTCTCAAAGAGCTCTTCCGGGGCGCACTCGATTTCATTTTCGCTTAGGGCGCTTCCTTCATCCGCATCATCGAAACGGTGAGCATTGCGAGTATGGTGCACGAATTGTTGCCAATCCTTTAGTTCACTTTCAATCGAACAATATATGCACTTCAAGTGGAACTCGGTGTAGTCGGTATTGGTTAATATGCTGCCGCATATTTCCATTTTGAGCGGTTCAAGTAAGCGCACGAAAACGAATATTTTATTTACGTCAAGTTGAATGTAGCTGCTCAGCTGCTTCTCGGCTAGTGTTGAGAAACATTGCGAACATTAATCGATTTATGTATATATCGATAACATTGGCAGCTTATCGCGCTAGGCTAGGAAATTTAAAAGGCAGTTAATTGTTTTTTCTTTCTTTTTTTTTTAATTAAGTGATATTTCAAATGTCTGGAACGACAGTCTCAGTAGATTTTTGGACGTTGTTCCGGACAATGTTGTGCGTACGTTTCATGTGCGAGTTGAGACCTACAAATTGTGAGAATCTGGCCTCACAAAGTTTACAGACAAATTTCTTAATTTCCGAATGTATTTGTCGATGCCTGATGAGCGAATGGCAACTGGTGAATCCCTTGCCGCATGTTGTGCAAATCTTATCTCGTATATTTAAATGGCTCTTGATGTGGTCCGACAAATCAACCTTCTTTAGAAAGTCCTTCGGACACATGGTACACTTAAATGCCCTGATCTTGGTGTGTATGGCAGTGACATGTAGCTTTAATTGAGATCGCAATCGAAAGGCCTTGCCGCATTGCTCACAAAGAATATTATTACCGGTATGGGTGCGTATGTGCAGGCGAAGATCTGAGTTAACCGCGAAAGTTCTGTCGCAATAATTACACTTGTGCGTCTTTCCAATATGAAAACGTTGCATATGCGTAGATAGCTCAGCGCGTCCCACAAAACGACGCTCACATGATGAGCACTTGAAGGGCAACTCTCCGATGTTATGCACCTTGCACATGTGCGCTTGCAGCACATGATCTGAGGACGTCTCCTGCTGGCACAATTCGCAAATTAGCTTTTGCTTGAACATTTTGGGTGGCAAAAAGGCACAGGCTTTCAAATAAAACTGCTCCGACTCATTGGACGTTTTAATTGCATGCTTTGTACTCTTATAGTACCACTGGCGCAGGCACTGTATGGCGAGGTAAATGTCATCACAGTTGATGCCGCCACCATGTGGCACCACGGTTTCAGCTGCCATCGTTTCATAGGCTTGCTTCCGAGCCGTAATGCTTGAGAAATCCTTGTGTTTGTTATCGTAGAGCTGGGGAAAGTTCGCATACAGGTGTATAAAGTCTGTCGTGAATTGATTGCGCTTGGAAAAATTTAACTGCAAGGCAAAGGTGTCTTCAAAAACTATTTAAACGCATTATGATTTTTAAATGGTACCTCAATTATTGAACTTTTAAAGGCATGCATTTGATCTTGACATGCTTTCAGGAAGGCACAGCTGGTGTAGTGATTGAAGGCCACGGAGCTTGGTTTTTGGCTGCCGTTCAAAACACGCTTCTTAACTATATTGTACTGAATGTGCAACTTGTTAATGGCTGCCTTTAGAGAATGCTCTGAGAACATGACCGATACTTTGGAGTCTAGCTCCGTTATGAGCTGTTGATATGCAGCTTTACATGCAGTTGGATCTTTATAGTTGCTATAGCCGGGATTCCAAAGGCAGGGCTGACTCTTATAGGACTCTATAAAGATAAGAGTGCGCGGATCTCGTCGAAAAAATGATGGATTGAACTGAAATATAAAGAACTTTAGTAAATATATTTTCTATTCAAAGACTTGTGTGTTTACCTTGTATGTAGGCGAATACGATATGGGTCTCTGTTCCGCGTCATCTTCCAATTGAGCCCTAAATTCACTCGCCGTTTCAACTGTGTCATTTTCGCTCAAGCTGGTCTCAGACATCGATGAAGAGGGTCTGGACATATCCGCCTCTGCAAGGGTATTGTATTCGCTGTCTACTTCAGGCTCTTCAATGGGTGCGGTCATGGCGTTTTCCTCAATACAGTCTTTATCCACAGCAATTTGATCTATTTCCAAACAAATTGAGTTGTCCTCAGGCTTCAAGCCGTGAGTATTCCGAAAGTGCAACACGAATTCCTGCCATTTGTCGATTTTCATGTCTATTGTACAATATGAGCAACGCATTAGAAAGCTTTCGAATTCGCCAACTCTGCTCATAATAAAGCCGCAAGTTTCCATTTTAGTTTGCAATATTTGTTTGGCATTTAATTAAAATTATAAACAATGCAACACACAATGGCTTGAAATCAGCTGGCTTGCAGGGCTGCCAGCTAGTTTTTCACGTCAAATAGGTACAAATACGCAGCAGCTGGCAACTCTGCTACAAGTCTACAGTAGTATTTGTTTACATGTCAGGCGACCGTACGGGAGCTGGGTCTTGTAATGTTCAAGCAAAACAAATTGCAATGGAGGAGCACAAAAGTCGCCTTACATACACGTTCTATATGCTAACATTATTCCTGTGCGGCGCACTGCTCTTTCTAATAGGCTTCTTTCCGGCTTCATACTCCGTTGCAGAACAGGAAAAGACCGTGCCCATTGACCGGCCGACAACACTACACGGTGAAAAGTAAGTTGATTATCAGTAGTTATGTATGCTAAAATTTAGTTGCCACATGTACTCACACCAACAACTGTTTGCAGACTGAAGCCACCGCCGGCCAACTATGACTCTTTTATACTCTTTCTGATCGATGCGTTGCGAGAGGACTTTCCCACAGAGTCCACAATGCCGGCGGTCCATGAGCGGGCTTGTCTCAAGCTGAGTCTCCACGTGGACATACCGACTGTGACAATGCCACGGCTGAAGAGTATTACCACCGGCACATTGTCCAATTTCATAGACATTGCGCTCAATGTGGGCCACACAGAGCAGGTGGAGGATTCGCTGCTGCATCGCCTGAAGCAGCGCAAAGCTGTTGTTTCTTTTGCCGGTGATCACACCTGGGTTCATCTCTTTCCCAGTGAATTCACACGTCAGGCGGCTAACAATGATTCGTTTTACGTAAATGATTTCAATGAGGGCGACCACAATGTGACCAGTGTCCTAGCGCAGGAGCTGGAGAAAAGCGATTGGAAGCTTTTGATATTGCATTATTTGGGCTTGGATCACATAGGTCATGTTGAGGGCAATGCCAGTCCCAGAATTAAAACCAAACTAAAAGAAATGGACGACGCTGTCAAAAAGATATTAGATCATAAGGCAAGTAATTTATGCCAAATATGTGCTAAGCCTACAGATAATCTAATCTCAAATTGTATCCACAGAATATGGCCAACTATTTACTAATGCTGACCGGGGATCATGGCATGGCCGATGGCGGTGGCCACGGCGGCAACACGCCCGCTGAAATTACGGTGCCACTATATTTGTATAGCAAGAACTGCAGCAAGTATGCGTAAGTAAACAGCTTCTTCTTATAGTTTGACATTTGCTATAACCATATTTCTTAGGCCAAGCACAAAGCGCTACAATCAAATTGATTTGACGCCCACGCTAGCGCTGCTGCTGTCGATTGAGATACCGACGATGTCCATTGGCTGTATCATACCGGAGATGCTGCAGACATTAACGCTGGAGCAACAAATGTATGCCTACTTCTACAATGCACATCATCTGCTTAACAAGGCTCGAGTCAAATTCGGGCATGAGAACGTCCGGAGTAGTGGTAGGGCATAGACGTATGAACCATGCTATCCAGCAACTAATTATGTTTACTCCTAGACTACTATCATTGGTATCAGAACGCCACGTTGCTGCACAAGCAACTGCTGCAGCCACTGCGTATCGGGGACGGCAGCGGCGCCAGCAAAGTGCATTACCAGAATGCCAAGCTTAACTATTTGCGCGTCGCCCGTGAGATTTCCGGCCAGCTGTCCGAATCACTGGTGAAATTCGATTACGGATTTATTGCCGTGGGACTGGCGCTAACAACAGCGGTACGTGTCGACAATTATTTTGTATTGTATATTTTATTAAGGACGTACTTTTCTGTACTTTCCTTCACAGAGCTCCTTGCACCTTATATTGAGCGTATTATTTCTGGACATTGCTGCAGAGCAACTACATTTGCATAGGCTGAATGTGGCTCAGCTGCTGTTCTCTCTGGTCATCGGAATTCTACTGAATGTAGTCGCTCATTTGGTGGATCTAGTGCTGACCAGCTCCATGCTATACGGTCTACTCTTACTGCTGCCCATAATTGCTTCCGTTTATTTAACCATTGATGTGGTCCAAGCATTGCTCAAGATCGCCCTTCCACCTCTTTACTCGCGACGCTTGAAGCTATCTATACCCTTGCCATTGCCACTTCTGGTGTGCTTTGCTATACGCATCTCGACGTTGGGCTCCTCGTCATTCATTGAATTCGAATACAAGACCTGGTATTACTTGGGCAGCACGCTGCTGCTGCTGACCACACTCAGGACGCTGCGTCGTCGCATTACCAAAGCGAATGTGGAGCTGGATGGACGGCATCTGCACAAGATTGCCTCGGCTTGCATCTGGCAGCAACGCAAGATCTTCGTGGTGCTGATACTGCTCACACTCATGCGTTATCTGCATAGACTGTCGGCCATTAAGAGCACGCTGATGATATTCTCCTTATTTCTATTTTGGGCACGCCTGCGCAAATTCACCGATACAACACAGACCGTATTTAAGGGCCTTGCCTTTCTGCTAGTCTACTGTTTCCGTGGCCTGAACGGTCAGGTGCACTTCTTTGAGGTACCCGAGAATGTGGCGTAAGTTTCGGATATTCTATATACTTTAATCTATCAATAATCTAATGCTAATGTATACTCTCCTGCAGCGCTCGCTGTATGGTACCCGTGCTGGTACTCTTCTGGTGTTGCCTGGCGCTGGTCTTTGTCCTGGGCTACCGCACGGCACTGCCGCAACAGAAAAGCGGTCTCAGTTTGCTGGACGAGCAGCCGCAGAGTAATCTGCTGAAGCTGCTGCAAACAAATATGACATGTTCGCTGATGCTGGTGGCGCTGCTATACAAGGTGCAGAATATTGTGCTGTTGCCCACGATGCTCATCACGCTGGACGAAACGTACAAGCTGTGCGATGCGTATGGCACCACCGCGCGCAAGTTCTCGGTGCGCATGGTGCATGTCTACAAGATAATCATGACCATATTTGTGGCCAGAATGTTTTACTTTTATCAGGGCAACTCGAACAGTCTGTCGACAATTGACCTGAATCCCGGCTATATTGGCCAGACTAGCTATAATCCCATCATTGTTGGGCTCTTCGTAACGCTGAACACCTACAGCGCCGAAATACATTCCTTTCTATATCTGATTGTGCACACCCTGCGCACGGATCTGCGCAGCGTTGGCATCATCCAGCTGCAGCCGCCATATGCGAAGGCAGCCGATTCGCTGGTGGTGCCGCTGTATGCGGCTCTGGTATTGCTGCCGGTGGCCATTTACCTGTGCCTGATGTTGGTCTTTCGCTATCATCTATTTATCTACTCCGTCTTTTCACCCAAAGTGCTCTACGACTGTTATACTGTATTGGTATTCTATTTGGTATTCCTATCAACGAGTTTGTACTTTAAATTGTTTAAACATGACGCTTAATTATTAAATATTTTAAAAGCTTTAAAACTTTAAAACCTAAACTCTAATTGCTCTCCACACGAAGCGCATAGTGTATGTCATCGGCGCTAACGTTGAGCAGAATCTTCTGGTAAAGATCATGGCGCGAGTGCTCGGAGATGATGAGACGCTCGGCGCCCAGTTTGGAGCATAGATGTAGAGCGCGTCCCGGCGCTGGCAGCGCCACGCCGATAAATGCAGCAATTGTCTCGATCTGCGTGTAAACGCCCATAAACGTTGTCTCCTCGACGCCGGTGCGTGTCACCTCCGCTGCAACGGCTTGCAGAAATATCTGCTCCAGTCGCGAACAGTTCTTGATAGCCTGCACCTTTGCACTGGCGATCATCTCGGCCAGCGCCTGCTGCACATGCAGCATAGTCACACACTTGGCTGCACCTCCTGGCTGAGACTCGACGCTGTCGGCAATTTCCGTCGCACGACGACAAATGTCGAGGGCACGACGAGCATCTCCAGAGACGGCGGCTACTTTACGGGCCACCAGCTGCACAGCCTCGCCCTTGAATGCCTCGGAGCCGGCCAGACGCGCGGTGACAATTTCCTGCAGTTGCTTATGTGTGTAAGGCTGGAAAGTGAGACGCGTGAGTCCCAGACGTGACGTTACCTTGCCTGAAAGAATATGCAGGGATTAGCTACTGGCTGCAGATATGCAGGAATTTGCTTTAATGCCTACCCATCAGCACACGCTCGGGCAGATCCATTGTGTTGGCTATGGTGACCACCACGAGCCTGGCCGCCGATTTTGTCGGCCAGTCGAGCAGATTATAAACGACATCCTGACGTCGATTGCACAGTATGTCCAACTCGTCCACCAGCAGCACCGTGGTCACGCGACGCGGGGCCGCCGTTGTAAAACGCTTCTCGAGCAGCGAGTGTGCATGCTCCCAGGATACGGTTTTGCCCGTCAGCTGCTTGTAGATCTGCACGTAGGCCTGACGCGGCTCGGTCAGGCGCATGCCGTTAATCTCCAAAAAGTCAAAAGAAGGCAACTTATCCTGGGCAACCAGGCGCTGGAGCCTGCGAATGACGCCAGTGACCGTCGCCGTTTTCCCGGTGCCCGGCACGCCCGAAACGTACATACAACCACCGCACTGATCCTGAATTTTGCCTTCCAGAAAGCTGTAGATATTGTCAAACTCCTTTTCGCGACAGGGCAAGCTCTTGGGCACCACCGAGACATGCAGCTGTTCGCGAGCCAGCTGCAGCTGCGACTTGTGTCGCTCGTCCACGAGCTGATGACGCTGCTCCAGGCTGGGACTCAGCTCGCCGGCTCGTATCTTCTTCAGCTTCTGCGATGGCGTCAGTGGAGCACTCTCCTTGAGTTTTGTAGCTGACGGTTGCTTTGCGGTGCCCGTGGTGCTCATGCGCCGCGGGCGCGTCGGTGTCTTTTGGCTTGACATTTTGGGCACGTAATCCGCATCGGCCGCCTCATCCGTTAGCTTGGGGCGACTTCTCTTGGGTGTGGAGATGATCTCGTTGTCTTTAAATATGCGCTGCTCCACAATATTGGACAGCTGAATGCTGCGTCTGGGCGTGCCCTCGGCTGTAAATAAAAGAGGATTAATAAATGCCCATGCCCCGATTGATAAGTTACCTACCCAAGCGTGTGGTGGCAGACTTGAGAATGCTTTTGCGGCGCGTAGAGGGTGTCAGTTCTGTGCCCGCAGACTCGAGCAGCTCCTTGGACTTCTTCGTGGGCGTATGATAGATATCGCCACTGCTGACGCCCAAACGCTTGCGTCGCTGTTTGCTGCTTGGCGTGTCGCTGATGTAGTCAGCGGCCACTACCAAGGGATCAGCAATTATATTATCGTCCAACGATTCGAGACGCACCGATTTCCGGCGCTCGGAGATGCGCAACTTAATCTTCATGTCATTTGAGGGCGTCTTGGGATCTGGCGTCTGCTGCACAATCGAATAGTTCAAGCAATCCGAATCAGCCGTGCTGTCGGCGCCCTTGTCCAGACTTAAGTTCAGATTGCGACGGGCGGCTGAAGCGCGCGACTTTGGTGTTGCAACTTTGGGATTCTTTTCGGTCAATGGTGAGGCCGTTAGATAGTTGGCATTGATCTCGGGCTCGACACCGTCGGCTGAAGCCACTGCGCTCAGGCTCTTCTTTTTCTCGGATAGGCGTACCACGCTGCGGCCACCCACAATTTTGATGGGCGACACCTTGTTCTCGCAATTGAAATAGTTGACATCAACGAACTCCACTGGAGCTGCACTGTCTGCAGCTGTGGAGACGCGTCTGCGCGAGATGGATTTGCGCGCAGAGCCCGCACTGGCATCTCGGGTGGAGCGTCTCTTGCGTGCCGAATCCGTTCCATCGAGCTGAATCTCGAGGGGAATAAGGCGATACGCGTTTCTTACCTTTAAGAATTTGTAGCGCGATACGAACATTGGACAGTTATTGGGTACTTTGTGCTCTTTAATTATCTGCTGGGCAGTTTGCTGGGAACTGCCTTCCAGCACAAGACACTTGCGAAAAATGGAGCCCAATGCCACGTCGTTGTCGTATAGTCGATGCTCCTCTATAACTTCAATGTCAAAATCTAAGGCCAAGCCGTCCACATCGAAATACTTATGCGGTATGGCCTGCGGGCGTGAGTACCACTGGACTATAGCACGACAGGGTTCCTTGACGGTCATTTCCCGCAGCTCGTAGAGATATAGGATCTTGGCGATGTCACAGCCCTCCACGGTGTCGGGCTCTGCTGCATCCGCGTTGGCCACCAATATGTAGTCGCCCACAGTCAGCGTAAGTGGTCCATACACACACTTCTTGTAAAAGTACACGTTTCTGTGCTCCAAACTCTTGACGGATGCGTCTCGGTTGTGGCTGCCGATCCAAATGACCTGCTGAACAGCGCTATTTGCATTTTCGTTATTAACCATCACGGTATATCGTGTATGTATGTCGTCAAATAAATGTTCTTAGTCAGCTATTGGAGAAATGGGTTGTGTTCTACTTTTGCTCTCTTTTTTTATACAACAATAAAAGCAGCAGTTTGCCGCGCTGCGCACTCGTTTTGGCGCAAAAACAAATTGTACTCGAACGATCATTGATTGTTATCGATACTTTCAAGACAAGGTATCGATGTGTTTGGTGGTGTGTAGTGTATGCAGCCCTGGCTTTGAACTTCTTCAACACTGAATAATTAATGAATCATCCTGAAGGAAGGCTTATGGAAGCACAATTCAAGGATTTGTGGACTTGCGGTTTCTTTTTGTCCAAGGAACCGTACAAGGAATTAGCCATAAGATGTTTTATGTGCGACAGATTGTTTTACATCATTCAAGAATTTCAAAAACACTTGGCGCTCACACATTTAGACAAAGAAGAAGAAGAAATAAATAAGCCGGTCTCAATAAAAATAAGTCCGTTGAATAACGATCCGTATTTGGGGCTCTGCGAAGTTGAGGTAAATAAATAGAATTAAAGTATTGACTAAATGTTCAATATAGTAATCCCCCAAAATTATAGAATGCAGAACAGCCAGCTGAAGTTGTTAGTAAAATAAATACTTGTGACAGGTTAGAGGATGAAGAGATTTTCTACGAGAATTATTTTGCTGAAAAACTAGAATACCCCATTACCGAATCAATTGTTGAGTCTGTCCAAAAAGCAACTACTCCAGCCACAGAGAATATTATTTGTGAACAGCCCAAGAAACAGGGGCAATGCAAGAAATTCAAAAAGCGCGCCTCCAAGACCAAGAAGGATGACTTTGTGTGTGAGAAATGTGGACTCATATTTAAGGAGCGCTTTCGGCTACAGGAACATCAACGCGTGACACACGAAAAGCTGCGACGTTTCCTATGCAGCAAGTGCCCCAAGACGTATGCTCGCAAGACCCATCTAAATGACCACATGCGTTCCCATTCACAGCAGCGCGACTTTGTCTGTAACGTGTGCGATAAGGCGTTCCGACGCTCCCAGGAACTGACCCGCCACAAGCTGCGTCACCAGCCGGCGAAGAACTACAGCTGCCAGCGATGCGATGCCAAGTTTCGCCAGCATTCGGGCTTGTATTATCATGTCAAGATTAAACATAGCACGCACAAGGTAAAGGCTGGCGCATGTTAGTGGAGCAGCAGCTGGAGGAGAGGCTTGTACATTGGTATATATTGGTATGCGTATGCTTTTATTTATGATTACTGATAATTGAATATAATGTAAGCTTTTTTGGGTACGTATTGAGTACAAGTATCAAGCAATTTGAATCAAACATTTTGCATTGCATGCATAACAATTTTTTGTTTATTTTTTATTTATATAACATTTATTCTGAACGTTTTTTTTATCGCGCTTCTATTTTTATGGCCTGTGATTTTGAGTCCAATTAAATAAATCAACATTGAAGCATAAACGACACGTGAACTACATAAAAGTGTACGCAAATCAAGTCGTAAAAGTTTTTTGGGCTGCTTAAATTAAAATCAATCACAATCCATATATACATACAAAATATAATAATACTAAAAAATGCTTAAAAATTATGAAGTTAATGAAATTAATGAAATCACTGGTCGCTTTCAAGAGAATTGAAAACTTATTGAAGGACTAACTCAAACAGTACGATAACGAATACTTGCTACGAATATTAAGCACATATTTTAGTGTTTGGTTTGGGTTGGGTTGGGTGCGGGATCCGAGGAGCTTGATCCGCTAATTCGCTTGGAAGGTGCGCCAAGTGTTTTGTGTGTGCGGTGTGGGTGAGTAAAACTAACAGAGATATTCATATAAGATGAGTTAATGCTTTTATAGTTGCAGATCTATTCAATATCGTGGAAGCGGAGGATGGCGCGACCGGGTATCTCGGAATTGCACAGCTTCTGTATGACCTCGGCGGCCTGCTCGCACGGGAATACCGAGTACGGTGGCGGCTCGATCTTTTTGTTTGCCACCAACTGCACCAGTTCGGCCAGCTGCTCGGCGGTGCCATTCGATATTGGTATTATTTCCTGCTGGTACTCATTCGATAGCCTGGAGAATTTCGGTAAAAGCTTCTCGGCCACCTCCTCGCTAATCAGCACGACACCGCCCTTGGACAGGCAGTGCATGGAACGATGCAGACTTCTGGAAGTTGTGCCAAAATCAATAACCACATCGACAGCGCCGCCGCACACGTCCTTGGTGCGCTCAATGAGCTGCGGCTCATACAGACACTCGTTCCACTGCACAACGCTGACACTGCAAGCAAGAATTAATATTTAGTTTAGATAGTTGGCGATAAGTACGCGGCGTCTAATGCTCACTTCTTAATCTCTGTAGCTAAACGGAAACCTTCGTCCCGGAGACTGGCCACCGTTATGTCCACATTGTGTGCACCAGTCGATGCAAAATGATAGGATGCAATACGCACCGCCCAAAGAGCCAAGCCACCTGTGCCTACGATTAAGATTTTGCACTTCTTGTTGGGATCCGTGGCGGCGCGCTGATTTAGTATCTCCGTGACAACGGCTTGCGCTTTGAATACAGCATTCATGGCCAGCAGTGCGCCTGTCGGCAGCATCGCTGCCTCCTCCATGGGCAGACTATCCGGGATCGGTACAATGTGCTTTAGATCGGGCACCACCAGCAGCTCTGCATAGCCGGCAGGTGTCTCATCAAACGGATAGACAATGACGCGCTGTCCAATGCGCAGGCCACAGTTGTTTGCCTCTGTGATCTCGGAGCCCAGCGCCTCAATTACGCCGGCCACCTCGAAGCCAGGAAAGAATGAGCCCTCACGTATGCCCTGATGAGCCGGCGATGACATCGACGACATCGATGTGCCCGACGGGCAGTAATCACTCAACTCCGACGAAACTGACGATACGCTGGTTATCGAATTGGAGCGGTCTCTGCGACGATAGCAGGCGCCAGCGCAGACAATCTTGATGCGAGCGCCATGTGCCGGTGTATCCTCAATGGGCACGAAAAAATTAAAAACACAATTCTTTACGCCCGGCCCGGGCGACTCAATTGACACTTGACGGCACAATTTGTTCATGTTGTGCGTGTTGTGATGATGATGTTCGGAATCGGTCGGCGGCAGAGCAGACGTCAAGGAGAGTGCGTCAAGCGACAAAGAAGAGGTATCTGTTGTTCCGCTGAAAAATAAGAAAATCACATTCAATTTAAGCATATATATGTATTAATATGCGTGGATACTTATTTATACTTGTCGGTAGCACAAATTTTATTTGCAAAAAAATATATTCTAGAGATTTAGAGGTCGTACCAAGATCAAGAAGATATTTAGCAAAGAAATCAGTTCAGTATTGTAAGAATTACGAAAAAAAAACGTATTGAATACACAAAACTTGACTTCAAATTTACTATGAAATGTTCAAAAGAGCCTTATGATAAGATAACAAATAATTAATTGTTGAAATTATTTCGCCTAATATCTTAGTACAAGCAAATGTAATGTTTATATCATATTGCTGAGCATTTATTCTTTATACGAGTTCGTACGCGCTTTATCGTTTACATAGCCCGATTTGGAACAAGGTCAATTTGTTTGCCTTTTGCTTTGGAAACGCATTTGTTTTTCATTACACAACAAAAATGCATGGCAGATTTTTAGAGAACCATGAAGTAATATTTGATTGATCCTCAGATCATAATATAAAATGTATTTCTAAACGACTTCTCTTTGTTTCCTTTATAGAATAATCTTGACTTCAATGTCAACCACAATAAAGTTGACTTTAATGTAAAACCTATTTGCTTTCTGGACACGATGTCTCAGGTGTAGACAATGGGGGAGTAGCTTGTGCCTAAAAGGTCAAGTGTACAGGTGTGCTTCTATATAAATATGCAATAGATCTTTATCAATTTATGCAATCAATTCGTTATGTTTTATTTATTGAGCATTTGGCATGACAGTATTTATGAATATTGATCAATTCACTTGACAGATTGATGTAAGTGTGTTTGCGCCCTGGCACGAGTATCCGATAATTACAGGTAGATACTAGATAATTAATATAAATTCAGCGTGTGCTGGATTATTTTGCATTCATCTCATTAAAAAAAAGCACTTGAAAAATTTCTATTTTATTTTTGCACTCATTATGAAAATCGTTTAAAACTTTAGTTTTATGACAGCAATTGAGAAAGTCAATAAAAATCTATATGGGCTTTACCTTATTGAGCTAATCATATTGTGCTGCTGACTGCAAATATCGACCGGCATTTTATTATTTTATTGGCTTTGCTTATTTCTTGTTTGTATTTGTATTTTTTAATTAGCGATAATACACATTCAAAATGTTATTAACTTTGCTTAGGTTCTTCAAACACTTTTTCACTGTCTTTACACAGAGTTTCACAGATTTTTCTTCTTTATTTTTTATTGAATTGTAGTAGCTCTTTCCAGCACTGGACTTGTCGAGCGCAATTCCAAAGAACAACTGAAATTTTCCTGAGACGATGCGCGCTCTAAAAAGCAAAATAAACCGGCAGCAGCGCCGACGTCGGCGTCAACAGAGGTGGAATGAGTTGAAAAACCAAAAGCTGCACATACACACACATACACACGGATAGATACAAAATACAGGCACGCAATGCATGCACTGAGCGCGTGTACTGAGATACACATACAAACTAAATTTGTTCTAGATGCTTGGATACATCAAATTGCTAATTTTAATGGAATACGCCAAAACAAGCGCAAACCTTAGAAAATATTATTCAAGGTAAATATCAGCCGCCTTCTTTTTCGTTGGGTTTTCACTACATTAAAAAAATATCTGCTTTGATTTGAACACAATAATTTTTGTCAGTGTTGTCAGCCAGTGTTGTTGTTTATCTTTTGTTTATATTCATTTGTATGTGTGCACATATGTCCGTTAATCGAATTAAAAATTCTGAACAAAACAAATACGAAGCGGTTCGTAAACATAATCAAAGTAAAAAAC